GCTGGGATTACAGGCATGCACCACCACGTCCGGCAAGATCCTGGGTTTAATCCCCAATATTGGCAAAAAAAGAAAAAAGTTCCCCAAGTGTCTTTAGCAATAACAGGCCTTTTTCAGGGGGAGGATGACAGGGTCTCACTGTATTTTAGGCTGGCCTTGAACTTACTATGTAGCCCAAGCTGGCCTTGAACTCGCTGAGATCCTCCTACCTCAGCGTCCCAAGTGCTGGGGTTATAGGTGTGTGCCACCACACCTAGCTAGCACAGGCCTTTTTTTGGTTCACATGTAAGTACTGCAGCCACTGAACAACTTATTCTTTTCTGAACATACAATGCTTTGCCACTGAGCTAATCTTAATTTATTAAATTATATTATTCTAAATTTTATGTAATATTCCATTATTTTAAGAAGGGAAAATCTTTCTCGAATTTTCAGGATATGCTTAATCTTTTGTGTGTGTGTGTGTGTGTGTCTTTTTGAGACAGGGTCTCACTATGCAGTTCAGGCTGGCCTTGAGCTCACTTTGTAGCACAGGCTGGCCTCGAACTTGCAATGATCCTCCTGCCTCAGCCTCCCAAGTGCTGAGATTACAGGCATGAGCCACCACACCTGGCTCAGGACATGCTTGAAAAATCTATTTGAAGATGTCTGATGTGTCTCTGGTGAGGGAGAATACATAATTAAGGGTCATTTCTCTAATGAGAATCCAATTACAACTTGGAAAGGAAGATTTAATTTTACTGGACCCATTGACTTCACAAATAGTATGTCACCCAAAATTATTTATAGACTTTCTAGCTACCTGCCAGTCAAATCTAGGGCTCATTGGGGTTGGGGATTTAGCTCAGTGGCACAGCGCCTGCCTGGCAAGTGCAAGGTTGTGAGTTCAATTCCCGGTACTGGAAAAAAAAACAAAAAAAAGACCAAAAAAAAAAAAAAAATCTAGGGCTCATTATAGCTACCAAGGGATCATTATTTAAATTATAAGAAAAAGCCTCTTCCTGATTCCAAAGACAGAGGAAAAAAACATGCTGCAGGGGCTGGGGATTTAGCTCAGCGGCAAAAGCGCCTGCCTGGCAAGCGCAAGGTCGTGAGTTCGGTTCCCGGTACTGGAGAAAAACCAAAAAAAAAAAAAAAAAAAAAATAAAAAAACAAAAAACATGCTGCAATTTAAGACACCCCCCACCCCCCCCACCCCGGTACTGGGAATTGAACTCACAACGTTGCAGGCGCTGTGCCGCTGAGCTAAATCCCCAGCCCCATTTTTAAAAGAAGAAATACCCACTAAAATCAGTCAGAAATGTAAACACTAATTTTTTTTAATACGCTTTAAAGAAAAAGAGAAACAAAACTTAGCCAACCAAAATAGTGAACAAAAATACGGAACGCTTCACGACTTTGCATGTCTGCCTCGCGCAGGGCCACACTAAGCTTCTCTGTCATTCCAAGTTTACTGTGTGTGCTGCCGAAACCAGCACTAGACACGGTTTCTTAATAACCTCTTAGCATAACAAAGGAGCTCTCACTGGCATCTGAACTCACGGAACTGGGACAAACATAACTCTCCATACTTGCTTCCCCCCTTACCCTCCCACTAATGCAGAAATACAGCCTTACCTCCGGGGTGTCTAAGATTTGTTTAACTTGCAGGATATTAGTGATATGCCAGGTGTACTTGGAAAATGTTCCCAGTGGCAAGGCATCTTTTCGAACAAAAGCTTCAATATAAAAAAGGTAAAATTAGGCGACCAAAAAAATCACATTCTTTTTCATTGCATTTGTCCCTCAGTTTCTACAGAGTCCAGTGCAGTGCTGTTCACTCCTTATAGAATCTCAACTTTTTTTTTTTTTTTTGGTTTTTTTTCTCCGGTACCGGGAACCGAACTCACGACCTTGCGCTTGCCAGGCAGGCGCTTTGCCGCTGAGCTAAATCCCCAGCCCCTCAACTTTTTTTTTTGTGGTCTTTTGGAGACAGGGTTTCACTATGCAATTCAGGCTGGCCTAGAACTTACTTTGCAGCCCAGACTAGCCTCAAACTTACAGTGATCCTCCTGCCTCAGCCTCCTGAGTGCTGGGATTATAGGTGTGCGCCACCACACCTAGCTAGAAGCAAGTCTAAGGGCAAATATATAACAAAGTTCAACAGATGTGACAAACTCTGTGAGGCAGAACGCAGTGATACCTCTTTTTGCTAAACTTGCTTCAGTGCTAGATAAAGCTACACGCACAAGGCTCTATTATAAAATAGAGTCTTACAACTTTATATACAACAGATCAAATAATAGTCCTTAAAATAATTACTTGGAGTTTAAGCTTTCTAACACGATGGCTAATTCATTGTCTGCGTGCAGGATTATCAAGCAGTTCCACCAAAGGGCTTTGAAAAATCAGCAAGGGGTAAGTTAAAATTATAGTGGAGTTTAAGATGGAAGAAAGCCTCAATTCTGCTTTAAAAGTTAGATAAGCTCTGAACACAAAGGTTTTTATGGCCCCAAATATAGTGATTCACAGCTTACTCTCTCTTTTTTTTTGTAAACAAGTTTAATGTAGCCTTGCCAAAACAAGGCCTCAAAATATGGCTCAAGACTCAGAGTTGTTCCTCTCCATGGAAATCTTTAGTAAAAGACAAAGATTTATACGATCTGAAGAGAAACCCTCACAGCTTACTCTCAAATTGAAAAGTACGGTTAGACCTCAAAAAAACACTGCTCCCAGAAGGAAAAAAAGAAAAAGGAAAGAATCACATTAAATAACAAATTGAAACATCGCCACTGAGCAACTCTTCTTTTCATCTTTTTCCTTCTGCACACCTTCCTGTGATTTCCTTACTGCACGCCTAACAAGCATCTTGAGACCCCCAGCTCTCTAGAAGAAATATGGTACATAAAACCAAAAAACAGCTACTAGAATAATACAATAAAGTCTTGGGGCTAGGGAGTGTGGCTCAGTGGCAGGGCACATGGAGTTCCAGGGTTCAGTTCCCAGTACTAACGTAAATAAAGTATTCCAAGCCTAATAATTACTCTAAGGATACAATCTTCCTTCATCAAAAATTGGGAATCATGAAAAAAAAAGTTTCAGTTTGTTTTTGTGTTTTGAGACAAGGTCTCACTATGTAGTTGGTCCTGGACTGAACTCATTAGGTAGCTCAGGCTGGCCTTGAACCTGCAGTGATCCTCCTGCCTCAGCCTTCCAAGTGCTAGAATTACAGGCATGTGCACCACACCTGGCAGTTTTAATTTTTGATATACACTATAATATGCTTCCAAGAAGCTGACCAAAAAATAACTATCAGGCCCTTCAGTGCATTTGTGAGTGTTTCATAAAGAAACATTAAACTTCTTGGTGGGCACTTGTGTTGCTCTTTATTGTTTTTCTTGTACATTTACACATTCTAATTTTTTCCACTAACTCTTACTGGAGTTAAGTGTGGGGCCTTTGAGGTGTATAGTCATTGTCCTAAGAGCTCACTGTGGAAGGCTTCATGTCCATGTGACTAGAGGTCCTAGTTCTGAAAATTCCACGCAGATTTTTTTTTTTCTAAATAAACTTCTCTGAGGTCAAAATGCCTATTTCTATTTCAGAGGAAAACCCTCGTACCTGTGGTGGAGTTGGGGAGCCGTTTTTTTGCACTTCCTATGGATATTCTTTGCTGCAGGGCATCAAAAAAGGACTGAGGAATGTGGAATACCAGTGGCTCTGGTTTGCCTAGAGAAAGAAGAAGAAAGTCACTGTGAAAAGGTGAAAAGAAAAGTAATGAAGATGCAGTAATTACTAAAAATAACCCTGAAGTGTCTTTCTTTGACATTTAAAAAAAATTTTTTTTTTTGAAGAGTAGGAAGAAATTACTGAGAGAAAGAAAGTTTCTGTCTGAGAGGGAAAGACAGGGGCCCGCAAAGTGGGTTGCCCCTTCTCTGACATTTTTATTCATTAATTTGTGTGTGTGTGTGTGTGTGTGTGTGTGTGTGTGTTACTGAGGATTAAATTTAGGGCTTTTGCATTGAACTACATTCCTGGCTCTCTTTGTATTTATTTTTTACTTTGTAATAAGGTCTCACTAAGTCATGAAGTTGCCAGGCTGGCTTGAACTTTTGACCCTCCTGCTTTGGGATTATAGGCATATGCCACCACACCCCACCAGCCTTCTTCTAGATCCCTTGCAGGCATAAACCACCCAGCCCACCCTTTCTTCCAATAAGGGTAACTTTATGAAGCTGGGTGTGGTGGCCCACGCCTGTAATCCCAGCACTTGGGAGGCTGAGGCAGGAGGATTGTTGCAAGTTTGAGATCAGCCTGGGCTACAAAGTGAACTGAAGGCCAGCCTGAACTGCATAGACAAAAAGAAAGTCAAACAAAAAACAGTAAGTATAACTTTACAAGTCCTCAATTTTGTAAACACCACGGCAGCACCGACTGTCCTCCTTAAGAGATGAGAAGGGTGGGGTGGAGTTGAGTCTGCCTGACTCACCCCTCACCATCTCCACACACTTGCTGTTTGCATTTGCTATCTAAGCAAAATAACTGTATGCTCTCACCTGAAGGGTCAGGACCACGCATGCTGCGGGACTGTAACTGTTTTATTTTTGGATGAAACGCTCCTTCCCACCCTCAGCATACATTTATATTGCCACAGATAGTGCAGTTTTCAGCAGCGGGAGCCGAGAAGGAACGTGGGGCGTACCCACCTCCTCCTCCTGTGACTTATCTGTGTGTGCTCTCTTCCTGGGCAGCACCAGTCTCCCCAGGTGCCAGGGCAGAGAGGACGAGGGGAAGAGGGCTGTGCGTGTTCACCTGCCCTTTGGCCTCTGTAGGCACCCGGAGAGCTCAGCAAACACCCGCTCCCAGTGCCGGGGCAGACTCGGGCAAGAACAGCTGGCTTCCGGGCCTGTCCTTGCTCTCAGGCAAGGTCTCCCAGGGTTTCCCGCTGACACTCTGCCTGCCCTCTCCCTCCTGCAGTCTCCACTACTGAGCCTGGGTTCCTGCAAGGCCTTGTCCTATTGGCAGTAGAGAAGGAAAGATGACACCAGCATCCACGTGAGGTGCTGCCCTTCAGCAGCCATCCCCCTTTGCCTAACTGGCGGCCACAGAGATGCAGACAGCACGCAGGTCCCCCGCCAGGCCCTAGGACCGGTTCCTGGTCCCCCTGCGCACTCACTGATGGCCACTAATAAATAAAAACTTCAAATAACTCTGCATCCTGTTTGTCCTGCGGGAGTCAGTAACAGTGTCCCCAGGAGAAATGTTCTTGGCATGTATGAACAGTTAGTTCAGGGGGTTGGGGGAGGAGCTCGTGTTCTAGGAACCAGGGTTCAAAGACCAGCTCTCTGCCCGCCTCACCCCCAGAAACCCCGCATACTATCTCAGAGCTCACTCTGCAGAGTTCAGCTTGCACACCTGCAATCTCAGATCTGCGATGCTTAAGTAAAAGGCAGTAACTTGAGTAGGCAGTTATGTTCCAGGGACAAGAGCAAAACAAGAGGCACAGCACAGAAGAGGGGGAAAGACAGACACTGAATATGAAGGGGTAAAAAGGCAGGGCCGGGCAGACAAAGCAGGAGATCTAGGCCCAAATGCAAAACCCCATAGTGGTCCCAACGGCTCAAGCCAGCACCTCTACCTTCTCAGTTCATTTCAGAAAATCAGCTTGGGCCAAGGAGGGAGTAGGGAGGACAGTGTTTGGTAGCAAAAGTAGACAGTGCTGCGTAAGAAAATAGCGGACCGAAGAGATGTCATTCTAATCAGCATGAAATGACCAGGACGATGAATAGCAAAAGCCAGGAGGCCCTAGGGATGCTGTGAGGCACCAACTACATAGCCGCTCTGTGTTTCTAACAGAATCCACAGCCTGACCACCTGGGAGCTGCTTTGGCCTTCCCCTGCCTTAGCTCTGCAGCAGTGTCTGCAGGTGAGACGAGGAGTAATGGAGGCTGTGTCCCAGTTCGTCCACTTCCTCAGGGCTAAGCTGTGCAAGTAAGTTTACCTTGCAGTTTAGGGCACTGGGCAGGACTCCAGCCTCTGGGACTCCAGCAGGTGGGTGCCCTCAGGGCCTGCTGAAAACAGTCAAGCAGCATCTCTGGACAGCAGTCAGCCTCCTCCTGGGCCAAGTGGAAGATGACGTAGTTTGCTGGCTGGCAGTGAAGTGGCCCAGAGCTGGGGTGGACTTGCACATGGCCTTGAGAATCCTGAGGCACAGACATCAACAGCCTGAGTCTGCCTGGTCCAAAGCCCGCAGGCGTACTGGACGCAGGCTCAGCCACCACAGGTTGTTGCACTGGGTTAGCCAGTGCGGTCTGGTCAAGACAGTGTCATCAAGGGTCACTGACGGCAGCAAGTCAATGATGTCCCACTCATCACTTCTACTGTCAAGGCCTCTGGGGACAGTCCTGGTTGACTCACATAGTACAAAAGGAACTTATGGCTGGCAGTTAATGGAGCCAACCATTACCTTTTCAAACGTGTCTGCCACTGTCTTTGGGGAGAGGCAGCCTCCTCCCACACAGTGGTCCCAGTAACGGATACCATGAGGAAAGTACTCTGCTTCTCACGAGGAACCAGGAAGCAGCTCGGGACATTCATGATAGTGTCCTTGCCTGGGATACAAGACCACAGGCTCTGCTCTAGCACAAGGGGCACCATGAGTTGGATATGGTCGGCTGCTTGCAGGTCAAGTTCAGAGAGGCCGCCACTCAAGTACATGTCCCAAAAGGGCATGTCAGGCAGCTTGGCCCACAGGAAGCTCCAGAGCTCAGCATATATGTCCACGGCAGCTTGTTTGGCCCAAGCCTGCTCTTTGGTAGGGATGGCCGCCCAGTTCCAGTAGTAAGAAACAAGCCTGTCCTGCAAGGACATGCAGAGGTGTGACTTCTTCAAGTCTCGCCAGCCCTTCCTGGCCAGTGGTGTGGGCCGGGGCAGACAGAATGTATCTGTGTCAAAGGCCAGTAAATTCGTGAGCAGGGTCTGCAGGGACTGGCGTGTCTTCGTGTCCCTGCTCACCACTTGTGGGGAGCCCATCCAACTTGATTCTTCCTAGCTGCTTTTTCCTGAATAGCTCAGGTGAGTGGGGCTCGTAGGGGCACGGACTGCCCGACCGTACATCCACTTAACTACCAGTGTGGCAATGCCCGGCACGGTCACTCCACCCACCCCCAGCACCAGCCGGGCACTGGAGAGCAAACGTCAGTGGCCACACCGGTGCCATTTCATCATTCTTGCTTTTGTGCTCACCAGCGCCCGCCACAGCTCGCCTGAGGCTTTCTAATCCATCTGGAGGTGGGGGTGGGAGAGAGCAGGAGTGCCCACAGCAGGCATCTTTGTCCTCCTTCAGCTGCTTCTCTGGACCTCAGGATCTTCTAGCCTCTGCTTTTTCCGGAACTCGCAGAGGATGCAGGCAAAGTAGAAGTCTCGATCAGTGCAACGAAGCTCTTGGCACTGGAGCAGCAGTGCCCAGCAGAGACTCAGCATGGCCTCTTAAGCTTGGGGACATGGGGGGCAGGGAGGGGATGGTGTCATGCTCCACTAGCCGTGCACTCCCACTCCTCTGGATTTGCTTCTTGCCCTGTGCCTCTCTCAGGTCACCTATTAACATGGCCCCTTTACTTCTGGGACATGACCTACTTTGGTCTGTGTGTGTGTGTGTGTGTGTGTGTGTGTGTGTGTGTGAGTGAGAGAGAGACACAGGGTCTCACTATGCAGTTCAGGCTGGCCTTGAATTCACATTGTAGCCCAGGCTGGCCTTGAACTAGAAGTGATCCTCCTGAGTACTGGCAGTATAGGCATGCGCCACCACACCTAGCTTTTGTCTGTTTTTTGAGACAGGGTCTAGCTATGTAGTTCAGATTGGCTTTGAACTTACTATGGAGATGAGACTGGTGTCAAACTTGCAGTGACCCTCCTGCCTCAGGCTCTTAGCGCTATATATTACAGGCATGTGCCACTATGCCCAGCAAGGGACTGTAACATTAGGACACTATTTATCCAATAAGCATCAACACACCTCCCAGCATATGAGCTCAAGGCAGATAAAATATTTGAAAATATTTAAACCTCTTATAGAAACTTGGGTTAACAAAGTCAACTGAAAAAGAGTTCTAGGAAGAGGGTGAAATGAGTTCAGAATTTTCCTTAAAAATTCTGCCCAACAGGCTAACCTCAGCAGAGGGAAAACATTCAGAATCGGGACAAACACAACTGTGACCTGGCTGGGTATACCTGAAAAAACCTCTGAAGAAAGACTTTTGAACTGCATGCTAGGCAAGTGGTCTACCTCTGAGCTACCCCACCAGGCCCTTTTATTTTATTTTGAGACAGGATCGAAGTTACCCAGACTGGCCTCAAACTTTCCATCCTTCTGCCTCAGACTCCTGAGTAACTGGCATTACAGGCATGGGCCACCATGCTCAGCTAAAGAAAGACTTAAAGACAAAGTTCACAGACTTTTTGAAATAAGTCAATCTGTAAGTAAATATATAATACAAAATGAGAGGTTTTCAAAAGTTTTATAGAAAAACCTCCCATTTTTTTATAGAGAAAACTCACTTTTTTTTTTTGGAACCAGGAATCGAGCTCAGGACCTTGCGCTTGCCAGGCAGGCGCCGTGCTGCTAAGCTATTTTCCTGGCCCTTGCTTTTGAACTATTATTAATATCTGAGTACTTTAGCAACCACATATGGACATTTTAAGATCTTTTCTCTTGAAATTAGATTATGTTTTTTTTTGTTTTGTTTTTTTAGATTATGGTTAAAGAAATAATTACAGCTCTCCAAGATGTGTTAATTCACCATAACTCAGCTAAGGTGATGCTAGAGCTTAGGTTTAAGAATTAACCTCGGAAAGTTCTCATCAAATACAGAGTCACGGTCCAGGAGGGAGCTGATGGTGACCGGGACAACAGTGGTGGCGATGAAGGTAGTGAGTGGTTTAACTCAGGAATGGGCTGCAGGAGGACCGCAAGGCTACAAATTACAGAACTGGTTGTGTTCTGTTTGGGAAGAGAGCTGAATAGGTGTTTATTACATTATGTTAAACAAATCAACAAAATTTCAAAGGCAAAAAAACTCTAGCCACGCATGGTGCCTCATGCTTATAATCCCGTTACTCTGGGAAGCTGAGGCAAAAGGAATGAAAGTTTGAGCCCTAATTGGGCAACTTAGTGACTTAGGGTCTGAAACCCTCACTGAGAATAGATAAGAAGAGGTCTGGAGATATAGCTCAGTGTAGGCCCTGGGTTCAATCCTCAGTATCACAAACAAAAATAACAAAATTTGTTTTACCCTCCTTAGCTTATTTGTTTTCCTAAAAAGTGATTTCTGAAGTTCTATCTCTTCTGAATTGGTATCTGAACATGTGTTTCAATACTTCCAATCTTTTTTTTTTGGTTTTTCTCTGGTACCGGGAACCGAACTCACGACCTTGTGCTTGCTAGGCAGGCGCTTTTGCCACTGAGCTAAATCCCCAGCCCCTAAATACTTCCAATCTTATCCCTCTCCTCACCAGCAAGTCAGAGCTGCTCTAATCCTTTAAAATCTGCCTCTTCCACTGAGCCTCTACAGTCAGCCTATTATTCAGCTTGAGGTGCTCTATTTTTCAGTCTTGAGGATAGAACCCAGGGGCAAGCTCATACATGCTAGCCAAGAGCCCTACCACTGGGCTATGCCTCCAGCCCTTTTTAATTTTGAGACAGGGTCTGGCTAAATTGCCTAGGCTGGCCTGGAACTTGTGATCCTACTGCCTCAGCCTCCCAGAGTGTGGGAATTTTAGGTATGTACCATCACACCTTTCAGAGGTGTTTTTATTTTTTAATTAATTAGTTAATAATGGAAGATTGAACTTAGGGCCTCTGCACTGAGCTACATCTCCAGCTGCTTCTTTCATTTTTTATTTTGGGACATGATCTCCCTAAGTCATGAAGTTGCCCGGGCTGTGCTTGAACCCATGCTCTTCCTGCCTCAGCCCCGTGGTGAATGTGGGCCACTGTGCTTTTAAAGCAAGGGCAAGGGTCAGGCTGATGACCCTCTGTGATATCACCGAGGTTCCATGACGCTGCAACAAATCATACTGAGTCCAGCCTGTGTTCTCCAGGCTTCTGAGCACGTCTCTGTGGACAGCTATCTTGGTCTCACGTGTTTATATTTCCTCTAACTTCTTCCCTTCCTCACTTCGATTTGAAGTTTGAAGTAGAACAATCTAAAGCGCCTTCACCAAACACACAAACGAAATCAAACACATAAGGTTAAGGCAATTGATCTTTACTTCTTATTTGTTTTTTTTTTTTTTCTCTTCTACCTTTAAATCCACTTTGCTGATCCTTTATGATTAAAGATATAACTATAATTATTCCTTTTTATCAGCTTTCACTTCTACTTTCTGGTTTCTTGTATCCCAATGTTCTCTGGAATGAAGTCCCTTTACTTTTTTTATCATCAAGACAGTAATATTGTAGCATAATTAACTTATTCTACTTTCAGCAAGAGCCCAGTTAGATGATCAGCACTTACCATCAAACTGATAGTGCATGGTTTGATGGATTCGCTCAGTGACACTGGCCAGCCAGTCTTGGAAGGATAAAGTCACTTGTGCTTCATCTAACAGCTGACCACAGGCTAGAAGGGAAAAAAACCTCTTCAGTAATTTTATTTTCTTTCAGAATAACAACTGAAGTTTGAGACGTTAAAGTAATAAAGTTTGAAAAGTTAAAGTAATAAAGAAAAAGAGACTATAAAGCTGAAATACAAATAAAGTAGACAGGCCGGGTGTGGTAGCAACTGTAATCCCAGCACTTGGGTTAAGGCAGGAGAACTGCTGCCAGTTTGAGGTCAGCCTAGGTTACACAGTGAGATCAAGGTAAGCCTGAGCTACACGAGACCCTGTCTCAAAAAATAAAACAAAGACAAAAACAAAGAAAGTAGATATACTAAGTGAAGTATTTTCAGACTGTTTTTTCAATTGACATATAATAATTGTATTTATGGAATAGAATGTGGTAATTCAATACAACCTGGTATGTTTAAGATTAATTCAAAAATTAGCCTTTAAACAGTAAACTGCATGCCAGGTATGGTGGCGCACACCTGTAATCCTAGCACTTGGGAGGCTGAGGCAGGAGGATCATTGCAAGTCCGAGACCAGCCGGGGCTACAAAGTGAGCTCAAGGCCAGCTTGAACTGCATAGAGAAACCCTGTCTCAAAAAGACAAACAACAACAACAAAAACCCCACCGTACACTGCATATTACAGAACAGCCTTACAGAATGGCTGTTTTAGAGATCTATAAATTAGTTGTATTCTTGATGAAATAGAGCTATCGGCGCCAAACCCTCTCAATAATGAAGCTGTTTGTCTTCTATCAAGGTTGAGCACAGAGATAACTAATGCACTCATTATAGGTTGCTATGAAACCTTTACACAGAACTCTAAAACTGTATCAAGAAATACAAAAGGAATGACAATTCATTACCAACTAAAAGTGAAAAGGTGACATTTTGTAGTGAAAAGATGACAAATGGAAAATATGGCAGCAAGTGGTAGAATTTAATGGAGCCAGAGTGCAGCACCAGGAGTTAAAGACGCCGACCCCACTGAGCGACAAGGGCCCATGTCTCAAATCCCTCTTCTCTAACCTGGGAGAGTCTGACTCTGTATTATATAATATGCATTGGTCTTGTCTTCAAAACCAGGGTATGAGGACAGGGATGATGTCTACCTGTTTTGCTTTGTTTTTTGTGTTTTTGAGACAGGGTCTGGCTATGTAGTTCAGGCTGGCCTTGAACTCACTGTGTTGCCCAGGTTGGCCTTGAACTCACGAGGTCCTCCTGCTCAGCTTCCCAAGTGCTGCAATTACTGGCATGGGCCACCACACCTAATGTCTACTCTTTAATTAGCCAGCCATATCACAACAAGTATTCAAAAACTGCTGCCAATATTGAACTGAACTATGGGGTAGAGATGGTACTGGGGAACAAACCCAGAGCCTTTGCACTGAGCTGCATACCCACCCCTTTTTTATTTTGAGAAAGCGTCTTGCTAAGTTGCCCAGGCTGGGCTCAAACTTGTGACCTTCCTCCTTCAGCTTCCCACAGTATTGGGATTACAAGCCTGTACCACCACACATGGCTATTTTTATATTATTTATAAGGCGAGCTAAGAGAATGCTGATTCTAAAATGTACAAGCTTTATCATTCTAAGTAGAAAAGTGATATATTTAAATATATAAATTACATTCAAGCCATTGCTTTTACATACGCTTTCAACCTTCACTGACTTTGGAGAATCTTTCTCTCTTTTTTGTTTTTGGTCTTTTTGAGACAGGGTCTCGCTCTGCAGTTCAGGCTGGCCTTGAGCTCACTTATGTAATCTAGGCTGGTCTCAAACTTGCAACGATCCTCCTGCCTCAGCCTCCCAAGTGCTGGGGTTACAGGCGTGTGCCACCATGCCCGGCTGGAGAATCTTTCTCAACCTTTTTTATTTTTATTTTTTGTTGGTACTGGGGATCAAACCCAGGGGTGCTCTCAACCGCTCACTAAGTTGCCCAGGCTGGCCTTGAACTTGTGATCCTCCTGCCTCAGCCTCCCAAGTATCTGGGATTGCAGATGTGTACCACAGTGCCTGGCTTCTCAAGAAGTATTTTCATTGCATAATTGTAGTATTCAGTTTTTTAAACTCTGAATCTTCCATTTCAACTGCATTGTGGGTAATGAGAAATAAAAGAAATATATCTTGTAAGACCGCTGCTGGTAAAACACGTTAGTTTTTGTTTTTGTACTGGTGAGAATCTAATCCAGGATCTTGTGCATGCTAGGGAGCCCCCTGTTGGTAATTTCTGATTTAAAGATATGATTTAGGAGCAGCGGGTATAGTTCAATAGTAGAGTACTTGCCTAGCATGCACAAGGCCCTGGGTTTGATTCCCAGCATTTCAAAAACAAGAAAGACATAAGTTAGTTTTTTGTGTTTACTAATCTCTTAAGACTTTTAAAGTATACTTTTAAAAACTTTTAAAGATAATTGTATATTCGTAGAAAATTGTAAACACAAAGCTTGTATTTGTACCCTTTTCCCAGATTCCCCCAGTAGTTAAATTCTGTCAAGTTATAGGACAATATCACAATTAGGAGAATGACATGGACACAATCCAGTGACCTTACTCATATTTCACCAGTTCTACACGTACCCATGTGTGGTGTGCGTACATACAGTTTTCCCTCTGTAATTTTATCACGTGTAGACCTGAGTGACCATCACAGTCAAGACATAAAACAATTCTGTTGTAAAACTTCAGGGCAACCGCTAAGCTGTTCTCCAATGCTATAATTTTACACATCACCTTTTTTTCTTTAAACAGGGTCTTGCTATGATTTTCAGACTGGCCTTGAACTCACTATGTAGCCCAGGCTGGCCTAAAATTCTTGGCGATCCTCCTGGCCCAGCCTCCTGAGTGTTGGGCATGCACCACCCCGCCCCCAGCCACATAACCTATTTTTTTCTTTTTTCTTTTTTTTTTGGTTTTTCTCCAGTACCAGGAATTGAACTCATGACCTTGTGCTTGCCAGGCAGGCGCTTTGCCGCTGAGCTAAATCCTCAGCCCCTTATTTTTTAATATGATTTGAAACTGGAGGGACAAGAAAGACCTCAGCTCACGTCAACCCACGTGCTGCTAGGGTCTGTTAGCAGCACTCTGGGAGACAACATGCAGCATTTCTGTGATTATTCTGCTTCTGATTTAAGGACAACTTACCGTCACTGTCGCCTACTCTAGGGGAGGGAAACTTACACTGCCTTTTTAATGAAGAAGCAACCACAGGCTTTTTCAGGCCACTCTTCCTTAGATTACTGCTCACTGCTTCTTGAGGCATTAGTGAACTATTCATCTGTGCACCTAAATCACACACAAATTACGATGGTGTTTAAAAACATGTCTGCAGAAAATAAACTAGCTTGATATTCATTTCTAAAGAAGCTGAAACATAAACAGTTTTTGCTAATTTCTAGGTTAGCTTCACAGTTTCTAGGAGGAATTAGCATTAGCTTTTATACATAAAATTTTAACGTTTCATGCTCTTCACCACTAATTGGTAGAGGGTGGGAAACAGAAGTGAAAAGAGGAAAGGAATTCACCCACTGCCCAATTTTGATGAGCTGTCTTCCTTTTTCTTCTCTGTGAATAGTTTGTTTTGCTATTTTCATGACTTTAAGTAGCTATAATTATGCCAGATTAGAAAAAAAGTTCTTTTGAATTTCAGATGAACATTAATTTTTTTAGTATACTAAGTATATTCCAAATATTGTGTGGGAAATATTTATACTAAGAAATTATTAGTTATTTTAGCAGAAATTAAAATTTAACTGAGCAGGGGCTGGGGATTTAGCTCAGCGGCAAAAGCGCCTGCCTGGCAAGCGCAAGGTCGTGAGTTCGGTTCCCGGTACCGGAGAAAAACCAAAA